ATCTTCTGTCCTTTATTATAGTCAAGCCTGAAGTAATGGCCATTTAAAGAAAATGTTATTCTGGACCTTTCCTACTGAGATTGGAAGTGTAGTGTTCTCTGAAATCCTAGAAAACACGGGCCTTTTTGGCACCTGATCCACTGAGGGAAATAAAAAACAAAAAGACTCACAAAAATTTTTTTACCTGGGTTTCCACTTATGCAGTTTTCTCAGTCTCTTGTATGAAGTTTCCAATTGGGATTCTAATTGTTTTCTAGTTCCTATTTGTACTATGCAATTGAACTGACAGACTACACAAAGTGATGTTTACAGCTGTCAGCAAATCATTCTGAGTCCATAAAGTGAACACTTTCATGCCTGTATCCTGGTAGAGCTGTGGTGAAAAGGTGACTCAGCTATCCATTGTTTCCTTTTTGGGTTTTCACAAGTGAAGCATGTGCTAATTATGTAGTCCTTCATTGGCTGTCTTTCTTGACCACTGTCGCCCATGAGGGGAGGTGAGATACCATGCCTAGGCAATTTTTCTTGGGACTGCAGGACAGACTCCAACCAGGTGTGTGGTGCTGAATGTGCCGGATGTTCCTCCCTGCTCAGACTTCCTGGGGCTGCATCTCTCACAGGGGATGGAGTTGTCCTTTAAAAATACCAGGGGATATGGCTTTGAAGGGACCTTAAAGATCAGCTAGTTCCAACCCCTGCCCCTGTCACGAGCAGGGACACCTTCCACTAGACCAGGTTGCTCAAAGCCTCATCCAGCCTGGCCTTGAACACTTCCAGGGAGGGGGCATCCACAACTTCTCTGGGCAACCTGTTGCAATGTCTCACCACCCTCACAGTAAAGAATTTCTTCTTAATTTCTAATCTAAATCTATTCTCTTCCAGTTTAAAGCCATTACCCCTTATCCTGTCACTACCTGTCCTTGTAAAAAGTCCCACCCCAGCCTTCCTGCAGGCCCCTTCAGGTACTAGACGGCCGCTATAATGTCTTCCCAGAGCCTTCTCTTCTCCAGGCTGAACAGCTCCAACTCAGCCTGTCCTCATGGGAGGACAGGTCAAATAATTTGTTCAAGTTAATAAATTAATGTATCTTGTTGAGACTAGAGGTAGGACTTTGTTGATCTTCCTGATTTCTCCATTTGATTGAAGGCTTAGTCAGCATCTTGTCAAGTTTCTGCCCTTTATCTTATGGTGTTTCAGGTCTGGCACAGCCACATGACAGAAGGTGCAGGTAAACAGACCAGCTCACAAAATCCCGTGTGCCTTTCAGTACCATCTATGAATGTTCTTTCTGCAACATTTTATAATAATTTTATCTCAGAAAATGGATTTTCTTCACCATACAACATCTTGCAAGCCTTCCCTTCAGAGCAAAGTAAAATCTGAAATAAGCATTAGTATTGTTGATCTTTGTACAGTGCCCCTTGACTTCAATTCAGTATGTGCTAAAGACACTTGTTTCAGGATTAAGCTCTGCGAACTCCACCAGCAGACATTTTAGTGCATACAACCCTCAAGCTGTGTTAAAATGCAAGTTGAAAATTCCCTTGGAGTCACTCTGTGTTTGTTTTCTTAGTTTTTGTAGTGTGGTTCGGACTTCACAGTTCATTTATTCCACAGCAGCAATGAGGCAGAAGTACACGGCTGTTGCCACCAGCCCCTCCTTACAAATTTCTGCTCCTCTGAAGGGTATCAACTGATAAAGTGTCTTATCAATGAGATGACATAGGCAGA